TTTTAAATGTCATTCTAGCTTTTTCAACTATTTGCCAAATAAATGTCGTTTTGGATATTTTGTACATATTTTTTCATTATTACCCTCATTTAGCCAATAAATACATTACGTCTTTTCATATTCACTCTTTAGATTTTCTCAAAACATTCATCTCTATCTTCATTAAATAAGGTTATTATTGACAAAAAAAATATTCTTAATTATTGTGCAACTTCTCAAAACGACATATATTAAAAATAGGAGGTAGTATATCATATCGCAACCTTAGTTTCAGGAAAAGAATGTGCAGTTGTCCGGACAGATAGCAAGCTAGATTAGAAACCAATAGAAATTTATCACATAAAAAAATAGATATAAACCTTACCCATATTGAACAGTTGAACCTTAGAAAAGCTTCTGTAGTTTCATGATTTTTTCTCACAAATAGAAGGGCACATGTGTGTACTTAGTTTAATATCCACATAAAACGATTTCGGTTTCACATTTGGCTATACAAGCAGACTGCTGTCAGTGTTGTATGAAACGTTAAGGGCTTGTTTGTTTACAAAATAACACAAAAAATATTCAATCTCAGAATCTAATTCAACCTCACTATCCTTAATATTATCAATATAATAAAATAATATCAATAAACTTCAATTCACTTACATCAAATCAATTTTAATCATTTTATTTTAAATATTATTATAATACAAATTTAAAATCCTACAAAATACTAACCATACTAACTTTTACAAATTTAATCTTCGTTAACCCAAAAAAAAAAAAAAAAATCAAATACCAATTTATCATCTATAACAATCACACCCTGACAAACCTCAGGTCTTGACATTGTGTAAATTATCATTGAAGTTCTATGGTAGTTTGACAGAATTACTTGAGACAATTCTTATTAAGATTTCAATGGTGTATTTCAGGACAATGGTGAGAAATTCACGAGCCTCTTGACTGCCACTGAAGGATTTTCAGCAGATCGTATAATTAGAAGGGCGTTCTATTTGTGGAAGAAGCTTGAAAGAAAATGACTCCCAATAACACAGACCCCAAGTACTATGCTCTTACCTCGGACGAAGAGAATTTTGAAATGTACAAAGTTTTAGCAACTCCAGTCAAACTCTGATTGCTCTTGGTGCTTTTTGCAAAACGGTCATTTTGACAAATTATCATGAGGATGCTCACTTAAGGAGAAATTTGAAGTTCAACATCTCGGAATATACGTGTGGCTTCAGAACTCAGATTCTTTCTGCAGATGAAAAATGCAGAATTTGTTGCTATGCTGTTTATATAGCTACTTGTAGTTATGGTCTAAGGTAGACATTTACTGATAACTGATGCTGTAGCTTTTTTCTTATCACTTTTTTCAACTCTTTAGCTCGTTCCGTTTAAGTTTGTTCAACGACTATGAAGGTATGGCATTAGCCTACCTACCATCTTTTTTTCAATTAAACTGCATAAATAGAGATTTAAGTTGCAATCAAGCAAGCGAAAAAACTAAAATGAAACCAAATGGTGGGATCAAAGATTGTTTTTTTATGTTAGGGGAATGTTTGAT